AAATTTTTGCAGTCTACCCATCTGACAAGGGGCTGATATCCAGAATTTACAAAGAACTAAAACAGATCTACAAGAAAAAAACAAGACCATTCAAAAATGGGCGCAGGATATGAACAGACACTTTACAAAAGAAGACATACAGGAGGCCAACAAACATACGAAAAAATGCTCATCATCACTGGTCATTAGAGAAATGCATATCAAAACCACATTGAGATACCATCTCACACCAGTTAGAATGGGGATCAGTAAAAAATCTGGAGACAACAGATGCTGGAGAGGATGTGGACAAATAGGAACACTTTTACACTGTTGGTGGGAGTGTAAATTAATTCAACCATTGTGGAAGACAGTGTGGCGATTCCTCAATGACCTAAAAATAGAAATCTCATTTGACCCAGCAATCCCATTACTGGGTATATATCCAAAGGATTATAAATCATTCTACTATAAGGACACGTGCATACAAATGTTCATTGCAGCACTGTTTACAATAGCAAAGACCTGGAACCAACCAAAATGCCCATCGACGATAGACTAGATAGGGAAAATGTGGTACATATACACCATGGAATATTACGCAGCCATCAAAAACGATGAGTTTGCGTCCTTTGTAGGGACATGAATGAACCTGGAAACCATCATTCTCAACAAACTGACACAAGAGCAGAAAATCAAACACCGCATGTTCTCACTCATAGGTGGGTGTTGAACAATGAGAACGCATGGACACAGGGAGGGGAGCACTACACGCTGGGGTCCGTTGAGCAGAAATGGGGGAGAAACGGGGAGGTGGGGAAGTGGGAAGAGGCAGCATGGGGAGAAATGACAGATACAGGTGAGGGGAAGGAGGGCAGCAAACCACACTGCCATGTGTGTACCTATGCAACAATCTTGCATGTTCTTCACATGTACCCCCAAACATAAAATGCAATAAAAATAAAAATAAAATAAAATAAAGAGTAATAGTTGAAGTCCAGGTGTGGTATCTTACACCTGTATTCCTAGTACTTTGGGAGGCTGAGGGGAGAGGACTGCTTGAGGCTGGGAGTTCAAGGCCACCCTGGGCAACACAGGAAGATCCTGTTTCTACAAAAAATAAATCAGGTGCAGTGGCACACGGCTGTAGTCCTAGCTACTCGAGAGGCTGGGGTAGGAGGACTGCTTAAGTCCAAGAGGTTGAAGCTATAGCAAACCATCGTCTCATGACTATACTCCAGCTTGGGTGACAGAGCAAGGCTGTGTGTACACACAAACACACACACACACACACACAGAGTAACAGTTGGAAATTTCAATAGCTCACTTCCAATAATAGAACAATTACACAGAAGATCAACAAAGAAATCAAAGAAATAACATTATAAACCAACCAGATCTAAAAAACATTTATAAAAAAATACACTCACCAACAGGACAATATACATTCTTCTCAAGTACATCTGGAACATTCTCCAGGACAGACCATGTTAGGTTATAAAATAAGCCTCAATAAATTAAAAAGGACTGACTGAAATCATACAAAGTTTGTTCTTCAACTGCAATGTAATTATATTAGACATGAGTAACAAAAGGAAATTTGGAGAATTCACAATTACGTGGAAATTAACAAATTTGAAAATAACCAATAGGTTGACAAAGAAATTTTTTTAAATGGAAAATATTTTGAGAGGAATGAAAATGAAAAGACAACATACCAAAACTTAAAGCATATAAAGTGTAAACAGTACTGAGAGGAAAGCTTATAGCTGTAAGTATATGTACCAAAGTGAAGGAAGAGAGATCAATAATTAAGATTTCCATCTCTAGAAACTAGAAAAATAATAGGAAACAGAACCCAAAGTAAGCAAAAGGAAGGAAATTACAAACGTTACAGTAGAAATCAATGAAATAGAAACTAGAATAACAGGAAAAAAAAAAAAAAAATCAACCAAACCAATAGTTTGTTATTTGAAAAGACCAACAAGATTGATAAATGGTTAGCTACACTGACCAATAAGAAGGCTCCGAATCTTCTGTTAAAATCAGGAATTCTGTGATGGAAAGAATGAGGTCAGAAAAATAACTAAGTAAATAAAAATAAAAAATAAAATCAGGAATTCTCAAAAGGACATCACTATTAATCTTATAAAAATAAAAAAAGGACTGTAAGGGAATACTGTCCACAATTACATGCCAACAAACTGGATAACCTAGATGAGATGAACAAATTCCTAGAAATAAAAACTATCAAGACTAAATTATGAAGAAGAAGAAAATCTGAATAGACCTATAACTAGTTACTAAAGAAATTGAATCTGTAATCAATAATTATCCAACAACAAAAAGCCTGTACCTGATGGTTTCACCAGTGAATTCTAACAAACATTTAAAGAACTAACATCAATCCTTCTCAAACTTTTTCACTAAGTTCAAGAAAAGGGAACACTTCCTAATTCCTTCTATAAGCCCAGCATTACACTTTATACCAAAGCTAGAAAAAGACACTAAAGGAAACTACAACAATATCACATATGAACACTTGATGCAAAACTCCTTAATACGAGCAAACCAAATCCAGCAGCAGCATATTAAAATGATTATATACCATGACTAAGTGAAATTTATTCCTGAAATGCAAGGATGGATATGGTTAAACATAAAAATCAAATGCAAGGATGGATATGGTTAAACATAAAAATCAATCAATACACCACGTAACAGAATGAAGGGAAAAAAACAACATAAACATCTCCATACAGAAAAAGCACTTGACAAAAGTTAACACATTGTTAAAACTCAACAAACTAGGAATTGAAATTACCTCCACATAATAAAAAGCCATATATGGAAAACCCACAGCAAATATCATATTCAACAGTGAAAGATTGAAACCTTTTCCTCTAACATCAGGAACAAGCAAGGGATGCCCACTTTTGCCATTTCTATTAAACATAGTACTGGAAGCTCTAGCCAGAGTAATTGAGACAGTAATTAAGAAAAATAAATAAATAAAAGGTATCCAAATGAGAAAGAAAACGTGAAATTATTTTGGTTCACAGATGTTATCATCTTATTTGCAGAAAATCCAAGATTCCACAACAAAACTATTAAAATAAATGAATTGAGCAAAGTAACAGGATACAAATCAACACCCAAAATTTAGCTGCATTCTATACACTAATACATTGAACAATTTGAAAATTATGAAAGGAATTCCATTTATAAAAGTGTAAGAATACTTGGGAATTAACTAAAGAAGTGAAAGACCTATACCTATACAATGAAAACTATGAAATATTGCTGAAAGGCATTTTAAAAGAGATAAATAAATGGACATATATCTTATGTTCACAGATCAGAAGACGTGACACCATTAAAAGTGTCAAAACTACCCAAAGATTCGATACATTCCCCACCAAAATCCCAATGACTTTTCTGCAGAAATAGAAAAACTCATCCTATAGTTCATATGGCATCTTCAGGGATCCAAAATAGCCAAAACAATATTGAAAAAAACAAAGCTGGAGGACTCACATTTTCTGATTTCCAAACATTCAAAGCAGCAGTAACCAAAATACTATGGCATTGGGATAAAGGAAGACATACACACTCAGGGAATAGGATAGATAGCCCAGAAATAAATCCTCATGTATTTGGTCAAATGATATTCAACAAGAATGTCAGTATCTCTCAATGCAAAAAAGATAGTCTTTCCAACAAATGGTGCCAAGAAAAGTATTCACATACTAAATAACTAAGATGAATCCTTATGCAATACAATAAATACAAATTCACTTAAATTACTCAAACAGCCTAATCAGCTTAATATGAGACCTAAAATTATAAAACTCTCAGAAGAAAACATAGGGCAAAAGCTTCAGAATGTTGAATTTGGCAATGATTTCTTAGACATGACACCAAAGGCACAGGCAACAATAACAAAAATAGTCAAATTGGACTTTATGAAAATTTAAGAATTTTGTGCACCAAAAGGCAGTATCAAGACAGAATGGGAGCAAGTATGTCCAAATCATATCCCTGATATGGTACTAATAACCAGGATATATGGAGGACTCTGAAAACTCAGCAATAAAAAACAACCTAATTCAAAAATGGGCAAAGTGCTTGAAAAGACATTTCTCCAGAGAAGATATATAAACGACCAATAAGCATATGAAAAGATGTTCAACCTCAGTAATCACTTGGGAAATGCAAATCGAAACTACAATGAAATACCATCTCATACTCATTAGAATGGTTACCATTAAAAAAAAAAAAAAAAAAAAGAAAAAGAAAAAGAAGTATTGGCAAAGATGTGGAGAAATTGGAACCCTTGTGCCCTATTGGTGAGAATATAAAAAAGTACAGCCATTGTGGAAAACAGTATGGTAGTTCCTCAAGAAATTAAACACAGAATTACCATATGACTCAGCATTTCCAGCTCTAGGTACAGATCCAAGAAATTTGAAAACAAGATTTCAAAGAGATATTTATAAACTCATGTTCACAGCAGCATTATTCACAAACAGCCAAAATGGAGAAGCAACCCAAAATGTCCACTAATGGATAAATGGACAGATAAGCAAATGTTGTATACAATTACAATGGATTATAATTCAGCCTTAAAAATAAAAGAAATTCTGAAATATGCTACAGCACAGATGAACCTTTAGGACATTATGCTAAGTGAAATAAGCCAGTCACAAAAAGATAAATATTATATAATGCTATTCATATAAGATACATGGAGTAGTCAGAATCAGAAACAGAATGGTGGTTGCCAGAGAATGGAGGTAGGAGAATGGGGAGGTACACCATTATTATTTAATGGGTATCGAGTTTCAGTTTACAAGATGAAAGAGTTCTGAAGATGGATTGTGGTGTTGGTTGCACATTATGAAAATATTAAATACCAATAAATAGTACATTTTAAAATGTTCGCACGGTGGCTTTTAGGCTATGTGTATCTTTACAAAACAGTAAGTGGGGAAAAAGTATTCTTTTAACTAATAACTTACACAATAGGTTGTACTAGTTGGTGGGTGACAGGAGCACTAACATAAGCTGCAGGCTGTACTCCCATCATTCCTGAACCATCTTAAAAGAAAAGAAAAGTTTATTTAGGATAACCATTTAATAACATTTTATTTATTCCTCCAAAAAAAGGTACATAATCAAAATGTTACCTAGGGAAAACCATCAATATTTCCTTCTGGGTTAGAAGTTAGCAAAGAACAACATAAGAAAACACAATTGTTATTTCTTCAATCAAGATAAAAAGGAAGTAACTATAAAATATAACTGGACTTTAAAATATGGCATTTATTAAGTCAGTATATAACATCTGAATTAAGAAATGCTGTGCTTTTCTCATTTAGATATTTTCCATTTACGCAAAAACCAATTTTCCTTATTGAGCCACTGAAGGAGAAAATGTTTACTCTATAGACAACTTACAGTAAGCCAGACTGGGATCCAAAGTATTCCTGGCCCCATAAAAATAGTATGCATCATCATAAGGGGTTCGATAATTAGTAGCCAAAGCTGGTGGTAGGGGAGGTGGAGGCAGAGGTGCAATCCTGTATGAAAAGAAAAATGAAAAATTCTCATATTTCATTGCAATTTTTTTAATCAAGATATTATTCTTTTCCAAAAACAGTACTGAAAATCCTACCACTACTTTAGAAAAAGTCACCATCTTGCTCCAATCATTCATCAAAAATTATGACTCAAAAAGCAAATAATATTACATAGGATTTCACAATTTCAGGTACATTTATGTAAGATAAAACCCTGGGTTAATATTCAATCAATTAATATCCAATAGGCACTACGTACCAGTATCAAATACAGAGAGACATGGTCCCTGTCCCTCAAGAGTAACATCAAAATAAACAAGTACAGTCAAGTAAGTACAAGCAAATTAAGTAACAGAAGTGGATGCAGAGTGCTACAGGAACAGGAGCAGAGACATTTAAATCACATGAGGGAGAGAAAGAAAGCACACATAAGGCTTTGCAGAAGAGGCAACACTTAAGCCATGCTACTAGAGTGAGCTAGTGTTAGAGGAAGGACAATCAAGGAAGAGAAGGCAAAGAGCTACAAAACAGAGTATAAATGGTTCAGTCTGACTGGGGAAATGTATTTTTTAACGTAAAATAAAAACCACTTAAATATCAACAGTATTGACATAATCTTTAGTATTTCATAATTTAAAACTTCTGAACCTCTACATTAGCACTTCATTACTGATTAAGAAATATCTATTTCCACCAATGCAATATTTTTTAGTAGTAAAAGCAACAAAGGCAAATTCCTTTAAATGAATAGATAGCATTCTAGAATGTTCTTTCTCACTGTTGTACCTTAACAGGTTCTCCGTTGTCATATACTTCAAAATAATTCCAAAGAACTAAGAGGGCACTGAAGTTCTCTGTAGTAGGGAATATTTTTCATATTTACTAGCCACTCATTATCCCTAAATTAAAAAAAATTTTTTTTGAGATGGAGTCTCACTCTGTAGCCCAGACTGGAGTGCAGTGGAGTGATCCTGGCTCACTGCAACCTTCGCCTCCCCAGTTAAAACAATTCTCCTGCCTCAGCCTCCCATGTAGCTGGGATTACAGGCATGCACCACCATGCCCAGCTAATTTTTGTATTTTTAGTAGAGACGGGGTTTCACCATGTTGGCCAGGCTGGTCTTGAACTCCTAACCTCATGATCTGCCCGCCTTGGCCTCCCAAAGTGCTGGGATTACAGGCACGACCCACAGTGCCCGGCCCGTTAAACCACATGTTATAGAGATTTATACAAGCTAATCCTCACAACAACCCTGTAATTATAGACATGAAAATACATACATAATACTATTCTACTTTTACAAATGAGAAAACTGAACTTCAGCAAAGGTGTAGTTTTCCTAAAATCCAGATAGGAAAACCAATCGTTTCAATTCCTAATTCAATGCTGAGACCACCATGAAATGCTCTGCAATTCCAATCACTCCTACTCGAGTCAGGAAGCCATCAGATGAAAAATACAGAGCCCCTGATAAGTACAGTAAATACACTCCTACAATTGGTTAGTAACCAAAAGACTAACTCCTACTGAAAGACTAAAGTATAGCCCAGAAAATATCAATGTTCAAAAAAGTTAAGAAAAACACCTCTAAATTTACATACATTTTATAATTAATACACTAATAGCGAACAAAAAATAAGCCCAAGTCTTACAAAGAAGAAAGTATAGACCAGAAAATATCAACAATAGGATTTTATGTATAATCTATTACAGCACCATGCCTTTTACCTACAGAAATCAAATCTTTACCCCAATATCTAACTTACAGGTTTTAATTTTTATTTCAGGCATTTGAGTTACACAGCCCAGAAGTAATCACAAAAAATGAGCTGAAGGAAACAGAAGCTAAAATAAAATTATATGTATAAAAGAGGCACATTAGAAACTTTTTCTGCACGAATTGATGAATTCAATGTTTGCCAAGTGGAAACAACAAAATTGAAAAAGAATGCACAACTTCTATCTGTTAAAAGATACCAAAAACAGACATCCCAAAATATGACCTAAAACTAAATACAAAAATGTACTTGGTGATTCATTCTAAAGATACAAAATCAGCTTTAAACAATGTTTTAAGAATTTCCCCTTTTTATTAACAGCAGAGAAAAAAAATTCAAAGAAATTATTTCACAAAACTGTTTAATTGCACAAAATCTCTGAAGAATAACGTCATCTGCTTCGGCACATCCTTTTAAACATAAAATACAGCAATACCTTACCTAATTCCCAAATACAAAACATTGAAACAAGCACCTGGGAGGCACCATTTCACCAAGGGCGCTGCTGAGTCCATTTTGCAAATCTTCATTTTGAGAAGGAACAGAATGAACTGATGGGACAGATAAAGGAGGGAGAGGTGTCTGGAAAGCTACTCTGGGTCTTTCAGGTGGAATCATCTCTTCGAAGTGTCTTGGTGCCACACTAAACTGCTTTAGTCTATCAGGCTAAAATAAAGAAAAAAAAATCTGTTTGTTACATATAATCATCAATTTAAAGGTGGAAGGAACCTCAAAAGACCTATCCCAGTAGGCACTTAAGATAGTCACAGATATCACAGATTTTTACAGCTATAAAAAACTCTGAATATCTATTTTTGTATTTATTTATTTTTGAGACAGAGTCTCACTCTGTCACCCATGCTGGAATGTAGTGGCACAATCTCGGGTCACAGCAACCTCTACCTCCTGGGCTCAAGCAATTCTCCCGTCTCAGCCTCAGAGTAGCTGGGATTACGGACACCTGTCACCACGCTCGGCTAATTTGTATATTTTTAGTATAGGACGGAATTTCACCACATTGGCCAGGCTGCTCTCGAACTGCTGGCCTCAAATGATACGCCCGCCTCTGCCACCCAGAGTGCTGGAATTATAGGTGTGAGCCTCCAAGCCGACCAGACTCTGAATATCTAATTATTATTTTATAAATGAGTGATTGAGGCTCTCTGAGAAGTAATAGATCACTTAAGCTCTACTAGTAAATAAGCAAAGGCCTCAGTCAGATACTAACTTTAAATATACCTGCAGTATTCTTTCTATGTACTATGACACTATGCTACTTCTCTAATCGCCATATCTGTTATCAAAGTATTCTGTAAAACAGGGTCAGCAAATGCTTTCTGTAAAGGGCTAAACAATAAATAGATTAGGATTTGCAAGACTACATAGTCCTTCATAATGATCAGACTCAGCCATAGTGCTAAAGCAGCCAGAAACATTATGTCAACAAATGAGCAAGGCTGTGCTGCAATAAAACGTTTTCTTTTTTACGAAAAGAGGCAGCAAACAAATTTGACCACAGGCCACACTTTGCTAATCTCCACTTTAGAACATCACTTAGGTGTCCTTTTCTAAGATTTGCACATCATCAAAAGTAAAGGCCTGTTGCCTCTGATTATTTGTTTATTTAAATCAACTTGACACTCTATAGGAGCTTCAATTCAAAGATAAATAAGGTCTGTCATACACTAGTGTAACCATAAATTCAAAATTTAACATGCCAACATATCACATTAAAAAGCTCACCTTCTAAAAGGAAACTTTTGATTAAGAAAATATATTTAGTTTTGAAATTTATCTTTTTTTTCTACCATGGTTATCTTATCAGGAATGATTTCTCAGGTTAATCTAAACATTTTTTCTAGGCATAGTCAGAAGCATACCGGGAGTAATGCTGGTGCAGTATTACCCACAGGGATAAACCCTTAGCATAAGTAAAAGCCAATCAAAAGTTGCCTATAGGTAAATGATTTTAAGTTGCTGCATCCTTTTTAAGCACAAACTTTTTAATAAACTTTTTAATGAAATTAAAGGTCTTAATCATCATTCAAAGATGAAACAAATCTGCCTTAGAAATAAATACTACATATACAACTATAGAAGAAGTAAATTGTGGTAAAAGCAATAAATTATTACCTCCTCCTTACTTAACTGCAATGATGTGAGTAATTCATTCCAATTAATGATGAGAATTGCAAAATTAAAGTAAAAATAAGATTACTATGTCTCTAATTTTACATTAAGTAACAATTACTAAAATGCTTTAAGAATACAGTTTTCAGGCCGGGCGCGGTGGCTCAAGCCTGTAATCCCAGCACTTTGGGAGGCCGAGGCGGGTGGATCACGAGGTCAAGAGATCGAGACCATCCTGGTCAACATGGTGAAACCCCGTCTCTACTAAAAATACAAAAAATTAGCTGGGCATGGTGGCGCGTGCCTGTAATCCCAGCTACTCTGGAGGCTGAGGCAGGAGAATTGCCTGAGCCCAGGAGGCGGAGGTTGCGATGAGCCGAGATCACGCCATTGCACTCCAGCCTGGGTAACAAGAGCGAAATCCGTCTCAAAAAAAAAAAAAAAAGAATACAGTTTTCAGTTTTCTTGGAATCACTCCAATATAAATGGTCAAGATACACTCAAGAAAAATATTAACATCAATTGTAAATTTAACCGAGATAACTTTCCCATGGAATAGTACATATGAACAAAGCAGAGAGAACTAATTTAAAATAAACTTTTAAAAATAACACAAATGAAAAAATCTCAAGAAAATAATAAGAGAATTTACACTTTATTAGAAGTCATTTTACTTATTTTATTACTGTAAACTGTCCTACTCTTTTTCCCCCAATATTCTCTAACCTCACCTGCCTCCTCATTTGAGGATCATTTGAATGAAAGATTAAACATTAAAAGATGCCAGAAACCCTTACCGATTTCTCAGGGTCTTGTGCTCCAGACGCTGCAACCCTGAGTTCTAAATCTTTTTCTCTGAACAAAATTAAAGTTTTATATATTAAAAAGATATAGTAAACACTATCAAAATTATAAATCATCATTGAAATAAGCTTACACACGAAGTCTATGCAATACATCTCCAAAAACAAGTAATTCCATTAACTGACAATACAGCCTTAAATAATACTGAAAGCCAAATATTTTTACTTGATACAAAGTAAACTAGAATTCACATGTAACTAACTTAGACTACCTATCTCTAAACTAGTGCCTGGAGTATTTTCAAAGACTAAGCAATTCACATAAAATAAAATACAAAAATACCAAGTACCAGCTCAGCCAGAGAGACCCCCACCCAGGCAGTGCTGAAGGCAATGAAGGATAGATACCCAGATAGAACAGCAAAGTGGGTCTAGGGGCGGGTGGGGGGAATGGGTGGCTCGGGCAGCAGCCTTCTGAACTGAGAGCTTCAGGAGCTGACAGCATTCTAGGCTGAAAGCTTCGAGCACATTCTGATCCACCTATTTATTCTCTCTGAACAGGTGATTATTATTAACAAACAGGTGTTCTGTATTTTCTCATAACACAAAAATATACCAAGTAAGCAGCTGTTACCCACTTCACACTAACCAGACAAACTAAAAGGTATTCTCCACGAGGGAGCCACGGGGGCAGGGTCAGATATCTCCAAGAATTTTTTTAACTGGTGTGATATTTATACATTGTCCTGCCACTCTGGAATGCCCCAAGTGGTTTTCCACTTGGGGAGGGGTTGGCTAGGTTTTCCTTGATCATTCTTCCTAGCAAACAATATATTCTATCATATACTCAGCATTCATCAATACTCATAAACTCACCATCTCTCAACACAAAAATAAAATCTCTACTTTGTAAAAAAAAAAAAAAAACTCTTTTAGGGTACATGTATATTTAATACATATAATACTTCCTAATAACAGTTTTTTTTTTTAAAAAAAATGGTATTAAAGATAGCCAACATCAAACAGCAGATATTGGCTTCCTCTGAGATAGAGGGAAAAAGGCAAAAACTAAGAGATAAAAAATTCTCAAATTCTCTCAAAACAAGATCTCTGTTCCTAATTTTAAACTATAATTAATATCTCACAGGTATTTCAACATAAAAGACTACAAACAATGACACCTATATACAATATAAATATTTGTGATTTACCATTCCTGTAGAATTGAGGAAGCCGTTGAAGTTTTTTGAGTAGGGTGCCAGTTTGATTAGTGTATTTTATGACAATTAATACTACATAGTGTGCTGGATCTACTGGAGCAGGGAGAAAGGAGTTAGGAAGACGATTTATTAGTTAGGATGCTATTGCTGCAATCCAGGTCAGATGTAGAAAGGACTTATTCAAGGTTAATGGCTCCGAGAATAGGAAGAAGGGGCCTCATATGAAGTGAATGGAAGAGGACAAGCAATCCAAGTTATAGTGAGATTCTGAGGCTCCATTAATGGGCCACTAATAGAAAATGAAGAGGGGTGGTTGGTTTTGAGATGCTCGTTTGGGATGGAAATGTAAAATTTATAGGATATAATTTTTTTTATTGCATACATGTGTATGCATACCATTTCATATGGCAAAAAATATTTTTATATTTCTTACTATATATGGGATAATCCAATGGGCATATCTATATTAAATGCTACCTTAAATCAGAAACTGAAGAAATCAATGAAGGAAGTAAAAGGCCTATTATAGAATACACAAATACTCTCATTTGTTACTTATGACCAAAAAAAAAAAAACTCTGTATTTTCCTTGTTAATTCCCCATGTAGATATTAAAATATTAGTGATTTACACATCAAAAAGCATATCAGAAAGACAACCCATTATTTAACCATCATGCCATTTTACACAAATGCATTTTAAACTCAAAATATCTCTTTTAAATGCAAACCTTTCATTACCGTCTCTTGTTTCTCTGTTGCTCAGCCATTTGTTCCAATAATTCTAGTCTGTATTTCTCTTTCCTTCTCTGAGTAAGTTCTCGATCTTCACCTCCTAGATAGCGGTAAGAAAAAAATGCAATCTTAACTCTTAAGCATCATATGCAATTAGAAAGTCAAGTCCTTAAAAACTCCATCTTAATTATATAATTACTGAGTATGCAAGAAATATAGAAGGAAAAAAATCACATGTATCAGTCCTTTTTCAATTAATTTTGTAATTAATGCGTGCCTACTATGTATCAAACACAAGATAGAGCAATCATGCCCATGAGTCTACCTTTAGTCAAAAATTTTCCTAAGTAACAGAATATTCTTACCCAAACCCATTTTTCTACTAATCTAAATATTTCCATTAGTACCTTCCATAAGTCCTATAAATTTTAACATTTCCATCCCAAACAAGCATCACAAAACTAACTGCCCCTCTTCATTTTCTATTAATGGTCTGATAATGGAGTCTCAAAATCTCACTATAACTTGGATTGCTTGTTCTCTCCTATTCACTTCATATGAGGTCCCCTCCTTTCTATTCTCAGAGCCATTAACCTTGGATAAGTCCTCTCTACAAATGACCTGGATTGCAGCAATAACTTCCTAACTAATAACCAGTCTTTTCAACTCCCTCCTCCCTACTCCAATACATCCAGCACACTATGTAATATTAACTGTCATAAAATACGCTAATCAAGCCAGGCGCAGTGGTTCACACCTGTAATCCCAGCACTTCGGGAGACAAGAGGCAGGCGGATCATGAGATCAAGGAGATCAAGACCATCCTGGCCAACATGGTGAAACCCCATCTCTACTAAAATACAAAAAAATTAGCCAGGCATGGTGGCACAAGCCTGTAGTCCCAGCTACTCAGTAGGCTGAGGCAGGGGAATTGCTTGAACCTGGGAGGTGGATGTTGCAGTGAACCGAGATTGCACCACTGCACTCCAGAATGGCAACAGAGAAAGATATTGTCTCAAAAAAAAAAAAAAAAAAAAATACACTAATCAAACTGGCACCCTGCTCAAAAAACTTCAGTTCTACAGGAAAAAATACAAACCCCTCACCCTGGTATTCCTTATACAAAAATCCAATTGATCAAAAATTTTGAATGCAGAGAAGATTATTACTATTGCATATGTTAATGCCACAAAACAACCTCTTAATCTAGATATGCAAGATCTGGAACACTATAAAAATCACAGGGTATCAAGAATGCAACTGAAAGAGCAATTTCTGTCCTGCTTTCATTATTGGTCTCCAACCATCAATGGGCACACAGCATCTCAGTTTGTCCATTAAGCATAAATGTCAGCAACAGTGAAGATCCTATTGAGGTAACATAAATTACATTAAGGCTAATAACTGTGTTTTATAATAAAAGTAAATACTCTCATTCCACTTCTGACCCATGATAGAATAACAAACGCAAGACTTAGCCTCACACTGTTTAAAAGAACAAACAACAACAACAAAAACACTAGAAAACTGGGCAAAATAACACAAAATAATTGCTTTCCAGACACTGGACAATATGTAGTGCAGAACTGTAGTAACTAAGGGAAGGAAAATAAACGAGGTGAGCCCTATGATCACCTAATTTCTACCCAAGTGAAATTTCCAGACCACAGATATAGGCAAAGAAGTAAAGATAACCCAAAGAGGGCCAGGAAACTGTGCTAAATTGAGTAGATAAATAGCAAAATTTAGGAAGGCTAAAATGGCTGGAAGTTATGGAGCAAAGATCCAACAAGAATAAAAAGAGCTCCAGAAATCCACAGGAGGTCCCTTCAGACTTTGCAGTGTGCTACTTTGTGTATCTACAGAGTGAAATTCCATTCAGTCTGGTAACAAACTAAAGAGGACATGTAAACTGAACAATTCTCAGACCTGTAACAGAGGAGCGAAATTCAAGCTCCAGACAGCTAGGTTCTCGGTGGGCTTTCAGGGAACACGTCAGAAAGGTCACTCTGTAGTAATAAAGCTAAACTATTCTCTGAAAAGAAGGCTACTCTAGAGGTCCCTAGCTAAGCTTAAAACCGAAATAAGACCAAATTGGTCTTTAGTGAGGGAAAAGGAAAGGAAAAATCATTTAGAAAAAAATCAGACTGCAGAAGCAGCCTGCCTGAAAAGTCACAGCAACAGGTAAAAAAACAACCTGGTGGGAAAAAAATCAGACTGCACCTGGACAGACAAGCAAACAGGGTCCAGCATAGAGCTCTTTCTTTGTCTAATTAGTAAATAACCAGGAAAAAGTTTCCTCCCCTTTTCAGACACATTCATCATAGGAACTTGCATGGGGGTGGGGGTGGTTTATCTAAAACAAACCCACAGTTACACAAACAAGAGAAGCCCTTGCCTAGAGGCATATCCACAGCTGCATAAGATAACAGGAGTTCCACAAACAGCTTTACAAGAGTACTTACTTAAACTGCTACAGGGAAGAAGAGTTTCTTATAAAAGCTTTTTAATTCAGCTGTAACCTGGCAATTCACTTGGACTCCCCTCTTCCCTACAAAGAGCTTTTCTTTCACTTATTAAACTTCTCAACCCCAACTTTGTGTCTATGTTCCTCAATTTTCTTGGACAGGGGACAAAGAACCTGGGGTACTAGTTCAGACAAGAAACTGCTACATTAAAGTGCATTGGTGAGACTGCAACATTAGTAATAGAAATGTGACAATGGTAGACAAAAATTTTTAAAGATGGCTACTACGTTCCCTGCTCCCTGCTGAATCCCTGTATAATTCCCTCCCCTTGAGAATGGGTGGGACCTGTGACTTACTTGTATATACTAGAATATGGAAAGGTTAAAAAAAAATTTGCAGAAGTAACTAAGGTACCAAATCAACTAATTTTGAAGTAATCAAAAGGGAGATTATCTTAGGTGGACCCGATATACTCTATACTCAGGCGAAAAGCCTTAGGAGGAGGACTGGGCCTCCCTGTTCTTGCTGGCATAAAGTGGGTAATCATGGTAAGGAAGCCCACATGGCAAATAACAGCAGATGGCCACTAGGAACTGAGGGCAGCCTCCAGTGGGTATCCAGTAAGAAGCCAGGGCCCTGAGTCATACAGACACAAATAAATGAATTCTGCCAACAACCTGAATTAGCTCGCAGGCAGATTCTTTGCCCCTCAAGCCTCCAGTTAAAAGGCAGCCTGATGGATACCTTTATTATAGCCTTTTCAGACCATTAGCAAAGGATCTGTTCAGTAAACCATGCCCAGACTCAACCCACTGGAGTTTCTGCCTGAATGCAATTTCCAGATGTTCACTAGGAAAACTGGGGTCAAACAATACAGAAGACCTGAAAGAGATACTTCTGTGACATTCAGGCACAAAATATGGTCCACATTCCAGACTTTCATACAAAGCAAAAGCTGCAAGCTATTGGTTGAGGGACAGAAAATCAGCTTGCACCCAACATCCCACACTCTTATACAGCAAAGGTTTGTTATTGTTAGGGGAAGGGCAAAAAAAATCTAGTGAAAAATCTGGTGCAAAACCCTCCTCAGACACAAAAAAGAGTTTAGCTATCATCCTGGGCAAGGACAGAAATGTTGAGAAAGACTCATCCCTCAAGCCCAGATGCACAGGACCAGTCCAGCATCAAGTAGCAAGCAACAGCAATATACTGCTGAGGAGGAGAAAGTGTGGAGAGAAGCCCTCACTGTCAAGAACATGAAGGTCTTGCTGAAAACGGTGAGAGTGCAGGAACACTAAGAAAATCCCTCTGGCAGTCCAGGCCCCAGACTAAGGGCAAGAGAAGAGGAGTCAACATTTCTCTCTAAGCAATTGATAGAAGCAGATAAAATTCATTATGGATATACAAGACATGAACATACGATGAACCAATTTGACTTAACTGACACTGTTTTTTTTTTTTTTTTGGACACAGGGTCTTACTCTGTTACCCAGGCTGGAGTGCAGTGGCACAATCATGGCTCACTGCAACCTCAACCTCCCAGGCTTAAGCAATCCTCCCACCTCAGCCTCCTGAATGCCTGGGACTACAGGTGTGTGCCACTAATTTATTTATTTAATAAATTAGCCTAGCTAATTTATTTATTTATTTATTTATTGAGACAGAGTCTCGCTCTGCTGCCAGGCTGCAGTGCAGTGGCATGATCTCAGCTCACTGCAACCTCTGACTCCCTGGTTCAAGTGATTCTCCGGCCTCAGCCTCCCAAGTAGCTGGGATGACAGACACGTGCCATCACGCCCAGCTTATTTTTTGTATTTTAGTAGAGACAGGGTTTCACCATGTTGGCCAGAATGGTCTCGAACTCCTGACCTCGTGATCTGCCCACCTCAGCCTCCCAAAGTGCTGGGATTACAGGAGTGAGCTACTGCACCCAGCCAAATTTTTTATTTTGTTTTTTAGAGACATAGTCTTCCTATGTTGTCCAGGTTGCTCTCGAACTCCAGGGCTCAATCAAGTGATCCTCCTGCTTTGGCCTTCCAAGATGCTGAGATTATAGAGGTATGAGGCACCACACCCAGCCTTAAATCACATTTGTAAACTACTCAACAACTGCACTATGCACATTCTTTCAAATACACACTAAACACTCACCAAGACAGACTGTATTCTGAGGCACTCAAAAAAAACTGTCAAATAAATTCAACAAACCTGAAATAACTGAAATTATAATAATTATATTCTTGGATCATAAGAGGCTTAAACAAGCAGTCAATAACAAAAAGAAGGAAAATCCCCAAATACTTCGAAATTTTAAAACATACTTCTAAATTACCTATGGTTCTGTTATAAACCTCATAATACATTTATTTTTCTCTAAACTAAATAAATTATCTTACTTTTTAAGTAAAGCAAAAGGCCCTGAGAGACATCCTTGGGACAAAATTACAGGAAAATAAATTTTAGTTCAATTGAAATAAGAGTATCATAACAATCACAGCCATCTAAAGATGGAATGTACTGTCTCTGGAGAAAATAAGTTTCCTATAGGTATGTACAAACATAGTTTGTGGGGGAAACGATCAACCATAAGATAAGTCGCTGGATTAAATGACTTTAATGGTTTGTTTCAAAC